TGTCGTATACGCCGATCCAGAGCATCCCAAACATGCTCAATGGGTGACATGTTAGGGTAAGGGTTAGGGTTAGGGTTTAACCCTAGGGTTTTCGGACCCCCCCAGACCCCCCAATAAAGCAAAACTGCACGTTTCAGAGTGGCCTTTTATTGTGGCCAGCCTAAGGCACACCTGTGCAATAATCATGCTGTCTAATCAGCATCTTGATATGCCACACATGTGAGGTGGGATGGATTAACTCGGCAAAGGAGAAGTGCTCACTATCACAGATTTTTTCAGATTTGTGAACAATATGTGAGAGAAATGGTTATTTTGTGTATATAGAAAATGTTTTCGATCTTTGAGTTCACCTCATGAAAAATGGGAGCAAAAACAAAAGTGTTGCATTTATATTTTTGTTCAGTGTATACAAAAAAAAAAAAGTCTAAATATGATATTTGGCCTCAAATCATCTGAGGCCTGGCGCCCCCCCCTGCGATCTTTGGCGCCCCCCCAAGCGGGGCGCGCCCCCCAGGTTGGGAACCACTGGTCTAAACGATATGTGCAGTGTGCTCACATTCACCAGGTTGTATGGGACATGCATGGTACAGTATGCATGTTTATTTTTGGGAAAATACATACTCTTTTCATCGCGTGATTTGGTGATTCCAAGAAAAGGTTTTGGGCGTTTCTGTTTAGTTGGAGGTGAAAGCTTTAAATGCAAACAGGTTTGATGAATCTTGCAGGGATGGTGCATGTTTGCAATGTTTGAAATGCACTGCCAAATAGAGGCCAAAATATTCAAAATTAAAACGTCTAACTTTGGAGAAACAGAACTCAACACAGATAGAAAAATAAATGAAATTGATGTATTTGGTTTCAGCCGGGAAATCATAAGCAGATTATGCAATCTGTGACGTGTGATATCTGATGTACCATTATGACAGCCCTCTGATGACACCACATACAAAGACAGTAATCTACATTGCACGAGTGAAAGGGTAATATCATTTTAAATGAACCCCCTCTGAGAAATTGTTACATCAAACTGACAGCAACTTTGATGAGAAGACTATAGTCACAGATGTTGCAGTCCTGACCAAATACACACTTTTAAAATGAAGACATCAATCATATTTCAATTGAAGCGTCCATCAAAGTTAGTTTGCGCTCTCCGCTGAGGATTCCCCACAGTTTCGAGGCAGTGATCACATACTGGAGCTCCAGCCAGATGATGGAATGACTACGTACACACACACGCCTTGTGTATCCCTCTCCGTACTCTGTCAAGAAGAAGCATCCAGTCACTGCTCAGTGGCAGAAGATGCATTACATTGCGGTGACATTTGAAATGGTCCCTGAGGTGCTCCACCATTGCTTTGACTGACAGACCAGCCTGGGAAACCTGTACTGTCCCATAATTCACCTGGTGCTCTGTGGTCTCGTGGATTCCCTCTCACTCTCGCGTCCCAAGATGCACAGAGCTGCTTCAGTGTCGCTGGCATACTTTTTTTTCATCGGCGTCACTCTAGCTCAATAGAAGATTCTTCATGTATAATCGTAATAATATGCTTTATTGTTTATTCAGTTGATTACTAATGGGAGTTGCTTGTAGAGCTCCATCTAGTTGTTAAGCCATATTTTATTCAACACTTACTAATCAATAGACCTGACCTTCATCTGGCTGAATAGCAAACCACGAATAATGGCTCTCTATTTGCTGCACCTATCTAAACTCAAATATGTATGATCTATGTTATTGTCTGCCATCTGTTTTATGTACAGTTTAAAAACATTGAAAAGGAAATTCATTGTTCCCATTACAAAGCATACATGGTGTTACCTCAAGATTTATAGTATGATTGCAAACAATACGGGAAAACAATTACATATCGAATTGTTTGTAACTATCACGTAGTAAGCAGTATTTAAAACATTTTCCCTCATTGATACTTCTGCTTCCATGTTTATAGAATATAGTATGAAACATATCTTCTTCAATTTTAACCAGCTGCAAATGTTAAACCATGTGTTTGATGCTTATGTTTTATCAGTTCTGTCATGTTTCGTTGTTGATGTTCTTTTGATGTTCAATTCTTTGTTTTCTTCTGTGCAAAACTAATTCCCCAAGGGGCAATAAAGGTTTCATTCATGTCCTGTTAATTGGAAATTTCGTCATTGTCAACAAATTCTGCTCTCAGCTGGGAATTGATATGTTCAAGAGGCAAATATATGGCTCTTAATTTAAAGTAGCGGGAGTAACATAATGAGACAAAGAAACAATAACATCGCTAACACTTATAAGCTACTTTTTGATCTTAACCCTATGTTGAATGCTTCTACTACCTTTAATTATGCTTGGCAGGGAGAGCTGATATTACATCACTGTTACGATTATTGTGTTATGTCACATTTTGTATGTCTTGTTTTGGGTGTTTTGCTGTTCTCCCTGTCATGTTTTCCTCTTGGTATATTGTCTGGTGTTTTTCCTCCTGTCGTTAGTTTCCCTGGTGTGTCTAGTTGTCTGATTGTGTTCACCTGTGGCCCTTGTGTTTCTCCTCCCCTGCCCGGCTGTTTCTCGTCTTGTGATTACCCCTCCCTGTATTTAGTCTTGTCTCTTCCTGTGTTCAGTGTTGGTTCGTCTTTTGTTTGTGACTGAGTTCACCGGTGAGTGTTCTGTTTTGTCCAAGTTATTATTTTATCCATGAAATAAAGGCAATATCAGTGTAATCTGCATTTGGGTCCTGCTTGCTTCACCCACCGTAACAATCACAATAGTAGTCGTTAGTCAGTAGAGGTCTCTGCTCAATAGTAGAAGAGTACGGATGGTGCAGGACTTCCTGTATTTCGACTCTTAGCTCATCAAATTAAATGGCAGTGTCAAAATGCATAAAGTATGGAAGCAAATGCTGGCCTTAAATATAAAAAAAAAAGCTAAGGTTTATTTAATATCCCTGGCCATTGACACTTAATTCTAAATATGTTATCTCTGACTTGACTCAAACCTTCCTTTACTTATTTTGATAACAACTTACTAAAAAAGCTAATTGAATTTAAGGAATTTTACAATATATTGTAATACTGCTTGCTGAATTTGTTAACCCAAACCTATATATACATGCTGGAATAAAAACGAAAAATGCACTGTTTACATTTATTTTTTAAGCCTTTATTACGATAGATGGTATCTATACTCAATAATGTTAAGGCTATAATTTGAGTTGTAATTAAATGTCATCAAATGTAGTAGTTATTCAGAATAAGGTTTTCAGTTTCATATACAAATTCAGGTTTTATGGGCATTATTTGCTTCTATTCAATTGTGCATTTGTGGTTCATGCATTATTCATTTTAACTTCATATAACAGAGTCATTTAATTTGGACTGTTCAGCAGTAAAGCATCGCCACCACCACACCAGGCACCAGAGGAATACCTCCGACAGGCGGAACATTACCAGCTCCCAGGGCTGCCTTCAAAAGTACAACAAAACATCCACACTGATCTGCTTAGCCATCCTGCCCCTCAGCCCCCTAATGAACGAGGGCAAAAGAGCTCTTGGGTTTAGCTTCTCCCTCCTACCCCAACTTAATAAGATGTCCCCCTACTCCCTCGCTTTCTCTCACACACACAGACACGTATGCAAGGAGCCACACACCTCCCAAACCCCAAACCACTAACCCTCGGACCAATCTGTCTGTGGCACTAAAGTATTATTAGACTTACACACTCTCAAAGGGGAAACAGTGAGTGCTGAGAGCTGGAAGATGAGATATGCTACAGGGGCTACTAGTTCCATTAAAATGGCATTCACTGGGGTCTTTGTTATCATCGGCCCTGACGCTTTTAAGGATCCACTGGGGCCTGCTGATCCATGACCATCTCATCTATCTTTCAGGATTCGAAGGAAGTTGGTGTGAAATTGACACCAATGAGTGTAACTCAAATCCATGCCAGAACCAGGGCGACTGTGTGGACCGGGTCAACGGCTACGGGTAAAGAGTGACATCCATAACCAGCTTTTCTTAGGAGGCAAGAAAAATGTCAGGCATTGTAGTGATGGACCTTTTAAACATTAGTAAATCCAGAATATTGGTACCGGTAACCTTCAACCTTCAGCCGAATGATTTGCGCTGATCTTGTGGCCTTTCTTAAAATGTATTTTAATAGATGTAGTTATGTACCATTTCAGATTGAATGAAGTCATATTCTTAACAGCAAAATTAATCTGCCTGTTTTCATTCAGCCATTACGTTTAAACGGTCAGACCAATGCCTACTGTATGTCACTGTATTGTATGTGCAAAGCCAGTAAATAAGATGTGTAATTGATATCATTAATATGTTATGGATTTTGTTCTGTTCATGTGCCAGAAGAGAATTCAAATGTTCCATCTGAGACTAAATATCAATATTAATGATTTTTCATTTCCAGCTGTGAATGTAAGATGGGATTTTCTGGCCTTCACTGTGAGGAAGACATCAATGAGTGCACCTCTAGCCCGTGCCACAACTCTGCCATTTGTCAAGACCTCGTGAACAAGTGAGTAAAAATAAACTCTGCCTTTGCTTTGACTTAGCCTTTATCCAATGTGAGCTTTTAAATATCCGTAAAGGGCAGGCAGAATTAATTTGTGTCTTTGTTTTGGTGATTGAATGAACGAAACGGCTGTCCAAAGAAAACACACAAGATGGTGGTGTTCCAGTCTATATAGCAAGCCTGTCTTCATCCTTGACATACATAAGCTGCTCTTCTGAAGACAGAGAGCGGATTCAGCAGGAACACATCATGTATCTAGATTGGGCTTTACTCCACTGGTGCTCCTCTCTGCTGTGCGTAATGGGAGCCCCGGGGCTTTCGGGCTTAGTCGGACAGATGGGTAGCAAAGTCCCAGGGCCAATTTGAGTCCTAAATGGTTCGTCTCCAGTTTGTCTCCCATCATGATTTCGCTCCCATGTGACCTGGCCCTGCTCAGAGCTCTCCCCTGATTGCACAGTCCAGGGAGTTCACATCAGGTGTGTTTTAACCTCGCTGCCCACCACAAACACTGCACACGCTGCTATCTCCGTCTCCCTGACCCAACAAGCCAAACAAGTCCATGTGTACTGCAGTGATGAATCAGACTGCCACGTATTCACTGCACCCTTGATGTCTTTTTCTCTTTTTGTAGAAACTTTGAGTTTGACTCTGTGAAAGTATTTTCTTCCAACTATATATGTAAAGAAAAACCCATCTGAAATAATTGTTATTGACTCGCAGTCGAGTACAATTGTTAATTGTCGACAACAATGCCTCAGATCAGAGTTCACATCATTAGGCAGCACAGTTCAGTTGTGGCATTATAAATACTATTTAGCATATATCGCACAAAGTTATGTAATTGGTTAACTGCTAAAGGAAGGTGTCTCACTTATCAAAAGATTGAGTTTAGATTTAGCACGGAGGTATCTAATTACATGTCTTCGTATTATCTGGCTTACAAATAGGATAAGCATCTCCTCTGAGGTGTGTGGTCAGGGATATTAAACCCACCGACAGCTGCAGAGAGAGACTTGAATTGAGTAAACCCCATTATTGGACAGATTAGGCTCTCCCCAATTATAATAATTCATCAAATGTAATTCAAATTAAGGACACACAGGGAAACGTAATCACTGTCAAATGTGTATTATTCTTCATAGCACTTTGGGTCAGTTTGAGAATATAAAAAATGGTCTTAATACCAACTTTACTTTGTCTAGGTGGGTTTGGATGAAAGGTTTTGTCCACTTAATGGAATTTTCCAGAGTTAGTTAACTGAGAAAAAAGTATTCTACTTATTCTGAGGTTACAGTACTGTAAGACCACAACAAGGTTTTCTATAATTACTGTCGAACACACTGGTCTTCATTGCATTTGCTTCCCTAATAATTGTGTTATCACATCTTCCTTAGGTTCACCTGCGTCTGCCCCCCTGGTTATTTTGGAACGCTGTGTGACCTGGATGTGAATGAGTGTGAAGTTTCACCTTGCCTACACGAGGGCATCTGTATCAACACCCTCGGGGGCTTCGAGTGTGTCTGTCGCCCTGGATACTCAGGTAGCTCTTTTGCCCTCAGGTGACATGAAGATCAATATGAGAGTCTAAAAAGCTTATCACAACTGCTGCGGCCACGTTATTGAGGCAACTCTGACACAGATCTGGCTTAGTGTAAAAAAAGAAAAACTGCCTCACAATACTCGCTTTTAATTAGCCCGCCTGCCTCTGAAAGATACAGTGCCTGCCTTTCAGTGAAGCTAACAAGAGATAAATTCACGTCACCGGTTTTAATCCGATAAAAACATCTCAGTGTCAGTTAGTTGCCTTTATTTCATTTCATCAGCGTCCATAGTCCCAGAATGCTACTGTTGTTTTACTTCAATCCATTTGTCTTATTTTCCACTTAGACGCATCAAGCTATTTTAGCGCTCGTGTGCGTATATGTGTGTGTGCGCTAAAGCCGATTCCTGTCAGGTAGTGGGAAGATTAATTTCATTTGTCTTCCACACTGTATCATCAATTTATCCTTCCCCAGTTGAGAAAGGGGGGGAATTCTCTGAGGTATTGCTCCTCTGGAGAGCCCAACCTGACACACATGGCCCAATTCCCACAGCAGCAGCTTTTATTATTAGGCCTACGTACAGCATGGTACAAGTCATTACTTTTTCTGTTGCTCAAAGCTCATGTGAGGAAACAGGGTTCCCCCAGAGAGCAAGCGGCCAGAGGATACAGTTTGGATTGGCTCAAACCATCTACAACTCCTACAAAATATTTGCTCCGGTAACATCTACTAGTATTGCAACTTTTCAAAGAAACACAAAAAGGTTCATGTTGCGACTGTAGCTTCTTTTAAATCTAGTCCAAAAGCAAATGTTCCATCTTCATCACATCTTGTTTGTGCAGCTTGATTGGAATTGATCTAATGTTATTCTGCTTTGATGGGATGGTGCGTCATCCCCTCCATCACTTTAACTCATTGTGTCACTTGATGGTATTATCATATTATTTGCTTCAGCCATCAGGGAAGTCGAGTGGGTTTTTTTTGTATATCAAATGCCACGATTCATTTGACTGTTACAGTTGAAGGTGCTAACTAATAAATCAGTTTTGTTCTATATCTCCTCCCTTCCAAAGAGGTTATTAAGCTATAATGACACTTCATTCCCACATGCATTGCTTTTCATATTGAATTTTCTTATTTCGTTGTCGTTGGTCAGTGATTATTTATTGTGTCTATTTTTTACTGCAGTGAGAGTTAACAAGGAAATGTCGTTGTACTTTGTTTGATGAAAATAAAGGTATATTCTATTTAGTGCATCTATATCTTCTGTTTTAAAAAAAAAATTAAAAGGAAAAAAATGTAAATGTTCTGACTAATACTTCCCTCGAGCTTCAAGAAAATAATTGAAGCAAAAAGCCGGAAATTGTTCTATTCACATTTCTGACACTTCTGCCAGCTTATAATTATTATTTTACCTTTCTACAACTCTTTTTGACCCACTTAGAGGGTTGACAGATTAACGCTGCTTTTTTATCTTTATCTTTTCGTGTGTCAAAATGAATCACTTGTTCACTTACAGCCTTTGGTTATAGCTTGAACCTAATCACACGCTTTATATCTCTATATGATGTGATGTTGCTCTTGTGTCATATTGACAAACAATTTGAAGCACACTCAAACGTCCTGGCAGTTGCAAAGATCTCAGCGGTCTAATAATCATTTGTTTCTAAAAGGCTGTTTATTCACAGTAATGTATTGTTTAACTGAGGCGCCGTGCTCTGTGCTGAGGTCAGATGTCATTACAGCGACATGATTAATGAGTAATCTTGTTTATATAAATCACAGTTTAAGCACGCTATTCGTCACCTTTTGTTTTCTCTTCTTCACCCATCATTAAGGAGCACGCTCCCTTGAGTGATGGTACAGTGTAATCAGCACATAGTTTCAGCTTCCTCCGTCAGCACATTGTCGGATGATGATGTTCTGTCCTTGCTGTTTGCTGTAAAAGCTTCTGTAGATTTGCTCTGTGAACATGATGAATAATATTGGGTCCTTATTTCTTCCTTTCTTCCATTTCGCATGGATCTTTTGCTTCAGAGATGTAGTGTACATTAATTGTGAAAAGATAATTGAATGTATTGGTTTTATCAATTGATAACCGAGACCAGTCTTTATGCTGTGAGAGAGTTGGTTTATACTACATGTGTTTTGATACTAATCACATGTGAAATATTTTAAAAGCTTTTTTAAACCCCAGCATTAAATATGAAAAACGAAATCCCATATCTCATTCATAGTTCAGCCCTATTCATGTTTTGAATTTGGTGTAAAATCCCAGCCCAAGACCTAAAGTATTTGATGACTTCCGACCTAAATTAAATGCCTTGCATATTCTGCTAATCTGCCTTAATCACTGAGTTTTTCAGTTATATTATAGATTTTTATTTTGGCTAAATGAAACATATATTATTATATTTTGCAGTAGAAAGAGCTGTTTTACAATCTTTGATGAGAGATCATAATGGGGTTTTTCCGTGTAAATATTGTATATTCATTATCTTTAATGATAAATCACACAGCTCCCATTATCACTGTTTGTTTGCATCCGTCCTGAATGAAAAGCTAACATTTAACAATGAATCATTCATCTATAATTATTTGTTGAATCCTGGAAGATAGGAGCGGGTGGTAGATATTCTTTTTACCCCTTTAGTGAAAAGCAGAACCACAACAATGCCGCTTTGTGGGATTAGCTCCAACCTATTTATTCATTTTGAATTCCTCCGGAAAAACTGTCATTTCTGTGGAAAAAGCAGTGCCTGCTATCACTTAGATATCTATAAATCAGTGTGTTTTCCTAACTTATGTTCTGATTTGTTGGCAGAAGAGAGTATAATTTTGACACTTCGGCCCTTTCTCATTTCTCTAATTCCCCTCCTCGACTCCTATCCTCGTGTCTTAGTCCCGCCCACAGGAGATGCGAGCGGAGGAGTCGAGGAGGAGCACCGAGGAGAGAGGAGGGGAAGCAGCAGGCGGTTAGAGAAATGAGAAATCCTCTCCTCTGAGCGGTCATTTTAAAGAGACGTCCGTTGATGATGACAGGAGGCACAGCAGCCCTCTGTCTGATGGACAGATGTGTTCATATATATTTACTTGTATTCATTCACAGTGCGGTATAATGAGACAATAACAGGCTACAGATGCGGAAATATACACATATGTATATATATTTATATAAATATATACAATTTCATAATCAAACAAGTATGAGAGCACTCTTATAATAACGTAACACTGTCAGAGACTGGATATATCCCCCCCCCCCATCTCTCTGGTCGCTACAATGAGGAAAATAAATTACGGGCCAAAAGTTTTATTTACAAGTATTAAAAGTAAGATGAGGACACCAAACCAACTGAGACCTGTCTGTCCGCTGCATCTACGCACTGTACAACACACACACCTACACCTGACCACACACACACCTACACCTGACCACACACACCTACAGCTCCTAAAGCATATGATATCAGGATACAGCCGTTGTGTATTTTATTATGTGAAGCACTAAATGGTTTTAGACAAATATCGACTCTTTCTTTGTAGATATACTAAACAAAAGCATACAAATAAAGAGAGTAATGTAAGCCTGTTATACTGAGTGATATATATGATCCACACTGCTCTGCTTTCTGCACGCACCTCACAGCTGTTCTCTCTGTAAACATCGCGTTGCGATGAAAGCAGTTAATAAAATTATATCCAGGGGATGCATGCAGAGCTGTCATTGGCTGAGATAAGTCCGGCCGTGCATCACTGTTGCCGGAAATGCATCCTCGGAGGACCCGTGGAGGACCGTGGAGGACCCATCAGTGTCTCCTCGGTTATAGCTCCTCCAGAGAGCCTCCTCGACGCTCGATCCTCGGTACTCGAAGTGCATTTAGAGAAATTAGATGTCCTTCAACACGGCGCGCTGAAATTCGTTTCCGGGTCACTACCGGAGGACCGAGGAGGGGAAATTATTGAAATGAGAAAGGGCCTTTGTGTTCTCTGGTGTTAACCTCACAGCTTGAAATCTCCCCTCCCCTTTAGTTATTCTCTGATCTCATTGCTATTTTGGTGAGGTCTGCATAAATAATGAATATCATCAACTCTCAGAGTATAGCTGACTTACTTTGTGAATCCTCAGACTTATCTTAAGTGTGGTTGATGGATGCTGAAGATGTTATTGTTTTCAGTATAATACAAATGTTCCCTTTAAGTCAGCACATTTGGTGCAGTACCGTTAGAAGGATTGTGCTTTTATAGACATGGTGCTGTGTAGGCACAGCTGTAAGGATATACAGTGCATAGAGTATGTGGCACACGTTTCTATTACTTCAATGCTGCACTTCACTGAGTCCTCTCAGGGACATTGACTTTAATGCAGCATGCGCCGTTCTTTTTTTAAATTTATTTTGATATTGCCTTTATTCAACCAGGTTTTTTCTATTGAAAGAAATTATATTTCTTAGAAGACCTGGCAAAAATAGCAGCACACAGAGTTTCAGCAATTGACATAAAAGCACATATATTTGATTACATTATAATGGGTTATTGTATTATTGGAGTTTACCTGTAGTTAGGTTCTTTGCTGTAGGTGCAGACATTTCCCACAGCCCAAGACATTTTCAGATCAAAACATTTTCAATTTCAAGTTTTAAAAATAGGAGAAAAGCATCAGATTTCAGAAGCTAGATATTAGTGAGTCAACATTTTTAATTACTTCATGTTTATTTGCTAAATGTAACAAACTAGCAATTAGTGTTACTATCATCAGCCACATAAGCCCTGTTGTCCATATGCTTGAATAACAGTTTAAGAATTCACTTGATATTTTGTAGAAATCAAAGTTCACCACTTTTCTGCTCAGTGCTTTAATTCAGATGCTATTCATGTGAAAGCTGTATACTCATGAGTCACAAATTAAAGCCACCAAAATGCTTTTAATATCAAACCCTTTTCATTTTTTTAACTAGAGGTTACTTGGGGTAAAAAAAGAGAAATTCCTCACACACACTTTACGCGCCTGTTTACCATCCCTGTCAGCTTGTGATCACTTTACATCAAAGGTTACCAAAGAGTCCAGAGATTAAAAACATGCCATGCTGAAGAGGATGGTAAAAGCATGTTGCTTTTAGGAAACAGTGTTTGGTGGTTTTGCATCTTGCAGTCATTTAACTACTAATGATTTACTTAACATGCAATATTTTCTTCTGTAAGGTTGGTTTAGGGACTTTGCAGAAATCTTAAACAACCTAATATATGAATCATAAGAATGACTATTACTGATGCTAATTGGGAAATTCATATTATCATAAAGGATTCTGGGCTAAAACATGTGTCCAGTATGTGCCTTAAGGTTTAGATTCATCCACCTCTGTTTAGTGAAAAATGTATAGACCTGGCATCTAGATTTCAATTTGGCTGACAGGGGCAGTTTGACTGGATGGATTTTGAGGCTTTATATTCACATAAAAGATCTGTAGCTTCAAATCCATCATGATTTCATATTACATAGATATATACTAAGGCAACAGTGTTTTTTTTTCTTTGTTATAAAGTCAGAATTAGTTGTGATGAATGTCACAGTCACAACACAATCTCAAAAATACATTGTCAGTCAAAAAACAAAAACCCATTAAGTAGAGAGCCATGATGTGAAACATAATCTTTAGATGCATTACAGTGAAAATAACTGATGTTGCTGACATTGGGGTACACAGTCTTCAGTCATAACATGGCTTTACAATGGCACATATAACCCTATGGTTACCATTCAAAAATGAAGTTGTATCTATTTGTTTAATGACTAACACATTTCATTAAAAGACATAAACTGAGAATTAACTTATAACGACAAATGTATCTTTGTGGCCACAATGTGTTATTATTGTGTAGTTTACCTCTAACTTCCACTGCCTTCAGGACTTAAAAAAGTGTATTCCGGAGCCATTCTTATATATTTTGTTCAGTTTTGCAGAAAAAATAAGCAAAAGTCAGATTATAACCATGTTGTTAGATTTCATACAATTTGCAAAGTGTTTTTGTTGAATTACTAAAAAGACCGTTCCTCTTAATGTTGTTAAATATTTAATGTCTTGATAAAATATGCTTCATTTCCCAGGGGCACGGTGTGAAGTGAACATCGATGAGTGCGTTTCCAACCCATGCCAAAATCATGGGAAATGTATCGATGCGCCTAATCGATACCGCTGCTCGTGTCCTGATGGCTTTATTGGGCTCCGCTGTGAAACCAACATTGATGAATGCCTGTCAACGCCCTGCCTCCATGGGAGGTACGGATTTCCACGCCAATTAAAACAGAAAGTGTGGAAAATGCAGTGCAGAAATAGCACAGAATTATTTTTAATTATAGTGGAGTGGAGACATATGTCACATGTTGTAAGGAGCTAATGTGATGAGCTTAAAGGTTGTCTCAGTGGTCTCCAAATTACAGTCATTAATTCCCCTGAAGGGGCAATACTCGTTCATTCAAAAGATGATATTTGCCTCTAAGGGTTCTGTATGAACTATAAAGCAAAAACCTGCATATTTTATGAATGTGTATTGTTTGAATTTCATACTGTTTGATGAATTCTAACCCCATCTGTTGTGGCCTTCTCAGCTGTGAAGATGGAGTATATTCCTACTCCTGTGTATGTGAATCTGGATGGACTGGCAGCAGATGTGAAACAAACATTGACGTGAGTTGAGCTTAATTAATAAAGCTACTGTGTGTCCACGAGGAATGTCGGGAAAATGTCGTAATCTGTGTGTGGCCTTTGGTATCACAAACTCTATTGACTTTACTACAAGATAGGTCAATTGAACTACAAGGATCATGTAAGCATTGTACAAATACCTGATTAAAAGGAACTGCTTAGTCTAATGCCTAATTGATTCAAACCACAGCTTGTGTTGGACTCTAGAGATAAAACATTGACTTGCTTACAAGGTCTCTCTGAGCATTTACTTCAATAGATAATCCGATTATCTGCTTTTTAACTACCGAGAAATTTTTCTCAATGCATTGTTTGGCTGTACCTGTTAAAATAGATAGTATTATTGCTGAAGTGCTTGTGTCTTTTCATTTCCAGGAATGTGCATCCTTTCCCTGCTTTAACGGAGGATCGTGTGTGGATCTCATTGATAAATATGCATGCTTCTGTCAGGATGGTTACAAAGGGAAAATGTGTGAGATTGATATTGATGTCTGCAAAGACACCACTTTTAATGTCTCCCTGTGTTTCAATGGAGCTACGTGCCTTGACGGTGAGGGATCAAACTTTACATGCAGGTGAGGAAGTGCACCATTTGTATTATAAGGCTTGGATCTAATGATACTGAAAGATTGTCCCTAGATGGAGTTATGTAATAACATGAGCTGATTTAGACAACATGCCCTGCTGAATTGGAACGGTCGAGACTCACTTAAACCAAAAATAGCCTTATAGCTTAGCAACACTAACAAGCAACAATTGGCCTGGAAAGTATTTGATTTCTCTGTACGCTAGGGTGGTGTCCATGGTGCTGTACTAATGGTGCCATGCCATTGTTCCAAAGGCCCCTTATTTCAAAACTCCAATAGTCTGAAAATGTTCCCATTTGCGCAAAATCCCATTTGTATGACTGTCTGTTATCCTGAAAACAAATGGCCATTGTTGTGAAGGCCCATTACTCCAAAAATACACCCTCTCCCAAACAGAAGCACATGGCTGATATGTGTTTAAGGACGTCATGAGACTTTCTCTTCCATGGCCAAAGTATGACCTGCCATAGTCTGATTGGCAGAGTTTTGAAAAATATTTCTGTTAAGATTTATTTCAGTATTCCAAATGTACTTATCTCTAACAAAAATCCCTCTTGTGCTTGAATGTACCATCCTTGTGAGTATGTCTGTGCAGTCATACAACGTAGCAGTGGTCCAGGTTGGTAGCATAGCAAGTGAAGTGAATCCTTCCTTTTAATTGCTTACATGCTCCCCTTGAGTGATGAAGTGTATCTGAACAAGGTGTATGTAGTACGTGTGTGCAGATTTGACACAGCAGCTCCCTAGATGCCTTACAGTTGATTACATTGCCTAACCCTGTGCTGATGTGATCATCATTACCACAACTCCAAATGGTTTTGTGCACTTTACACTGCTTTATATTGATGCGTTGCACTGCTTACTACCCCAGCACAGCATTTTTTATGTTTACGTTGTTGTAGGCACATTTATATACTACAAGGAGGCAATATAGCATATGTTATGCATTCATGTGGTCTGAGGACAAACAATGTCCTTTAGTGTCCTGCTGATCTGCAATTTGATTTGCTCTGTCTGCACTTTAGAGAGAAAAGGGTTCTATTCACCAAGATGTATTTATTTGGGTTTGAATTACAGGATTTTACACCACCAACCATTATTACAGGCATAGCTAATATCTTGAGTGACACCTGGTTCCAATCCTATGTGTCCCTCTGATTTTCCTTTACATCACAGTCACATGATTTTTACATCCATTTACATGATTAATTTTTCCACTTGAATAAAGAGTGTCTGGTCTGGCTAGCACACTTACTAATGGCCTTAAATGTAAAATCAGTCATGCATTCATTACTACAATACATGAAATACAATGTTCTTTAATCTGAATGGTGTGTGAAAATTACATTTTGACCCTTTTTAAACTCGGCCTCATAACCACTCCTTTTCAGATGTTACCTGATTTCATTCATATTTATGATTCAGTTTCAACAGAAATCATATTTCCAAAGAGGAAATCAGACAACCTCAAACAACAATCAGAGTTTTAGTAAATCTACATTATTTATTCCCCATTGCTCTGCTTGTGTCACATATTCTGACGTCAAATATGTTCAAAGTTGATCAACGAGTTTACACTCTGTTGATTGTGAATTGGAAATCCATGCAAGTCAGCAGACCTTGGTCTTCCTTTAGCCTCAGGAAGCTTTGATGCATGATCAGGCTCTGGAGAAGGACTGATTCTTCTACATAACTGAAAGCCAGTTGGGATGACATTTGCAGAATCAAGTGGCACCGCTCTTTGCTCAAGGTGTTGCCTATCTACATCCAAAAATCTCCAATTCCACAAAAAAAAACGAAGCACTACCACACATAAATATTCCCACTTTAATTACACGTTCATTTTATGCACGCTGAATCATCCATTATGTGTTATCTTCCCTTTAAATAAGGTCTCTTATTTCCAGTGTGTGATCTGTGAACTTAAGTTTCGTCAGTGAGTTTTTTGTTATTGTTTGGCCCTGTTTGTCAAAGAAATATAATAACATTAATGATAGGAACACAAAAGGACAATTGCCAAAATACACACTCAAGAAGAACGTCTTGCCTGAAACATCCACATGGCAATATTTAAAGTAAAATTGGAGTACTTTACTAGTCTTTGCTTATTTATCATAAATAGATACAGGACCATATACATTTTGCCAAACTTCTGACAAAACAACAAGGGCCATTAGTTGGAGAGCAGTCCTTTGGAAACATCATCGCTGAACAGCGTTTTCTCACAGCTCTGATAAGAACTCCTAAGTACTTTATCATGGGTTTGTTTACTGTTTATTTTTGGATGCATTATAAAATGTGCAGTTCGACTAATGCTTTGCTATTTCTTTTTTTATTAAAACATCTGGATGTACAGACTTGTATTTTTAACAAATAGTTTTGGGAAAATAACATTTGGGATAATAATCAGACTTTAAACAATCCTTACACTTAATAACACAATTATTGTAAACTAATCCAAATTCATCATGAGACCGTTATAAACGTTCTTGAAATTGTACGTTCATTAAAAAAACATTAGTTGGTGGTTTGAACCCTCTCTTCAGTTTAAGCTTTACTAATTCCACTGCTCTCATAATTCAAAAACAATGTGTCTGTTTTGAATAATAAACTCTAAGATAAGAAGCAACAACTGACTAGAAAATGGTGTTCTTGATAAATAATGAAAAGAAGCTGTTCTTACAGATGCAGTGTGTCAGCTGCACAACAAGGAAGTGACAGCTCTGTGAGACAGCCTCACAGTTTGAAAGTATGATATGTTTTCTCAGCTGTCCACCAGGTTTCATGGGAGATTTCTGCGAAGTGGATGTTAACGAATGTTGCTCAGCTCCCTGCCACAACGGTGCCATTTGCCAAGATCTTATTAATAGCTACATCTGCCACTGCAGGTCAGGTGAGTCACTCAGACATCCTGCAAGTTTCTCAGTTTACTTTGAAATGAGGCAACCAAAGCACATTCTTTTTCTTTATAAGGCCTGTTACAGCAAAGCTTTGTGGCTCATGAACAGGATAAAAAAGACACATTCTAGACGGAAAGACACTTTTGAGGTGAACAAGAGCACTTCACTGTGCCCCAGATGTCAGTTTACCATATGTAAACCATGTTAATACATAGAAAATGCCCAAATTGGATTGAAATGGGCCATATGAAGTGTCAATCAAGGTTACCGTGTTGCCTACATTGCCTGTGTTCCTTGGAGCTATTCAAAAATCATGAAGTTTTCTCCAGGGAGACATTTGTAGTTATACAGTACTAAAAAAAGACAGTTATAAAAAGCCGATACGACTCAGGCTCATTAAAATGTATGTGTCATCTTACTCTTTAGTGAAAGCCTTTTCTTGTCTTTGTATGTGTGTGAACCCAAAAGGAAGCAAATCAATGTAAGAGAATCTGATTGATATTCACTTCAGAGGGTGGAAGTGGGAGAGTCTGGGCTCACCACGGCACTCTGTGGGCTTTTGTTCCTGGCAGGTTGGACAGGCCTTCACTGTGAGGATGACATTAATGAGTGCCTTCCCCAGCCCTGCAACCAGGGGATATGCATTCAGAATGATCCGGGCTACGGCTACACCTGTTTCTGTCGTCCTGGATTTGTGGTGAGGCTCCCCACCTTATTCCCCATGGCACAGTCTGTTTTCTCTCTCTGTTTTTTGAATTAACCTTAGCCTTGATTAACCTTACACCTTCAACTCTTCAGTCCTCTTTTGGCAGTCATTTCCAATGTGTTAAAAACGTACCTTTACCTGTTTCTCTTTGTTGTTCATAGTCTAATTATTTATTCCTGTTGTGCCTTTCTCATATAATAAACATGTTACATTTGTGTTTACTAATAATACTTTACTGTATATAAAAAATGTTTAGCCTCCGTTATAAACCAAATAAAAATTATGACATGATATCATTGATTAGTCAGTAATCAAATACTATCTTGCATCACATGTTTAAAAAATAATTTCATGCTCCCTATTTAATGCAGTCTCAATTATGCAGGCTGTAAACATTTTATTTCCATTTAGCATCTGATCGCAGAGTTGCTGGACACATCTGAAGGCTGTTTATTTTTCTATACACAGGGGAGGAACTGCGAGCACAACTATGATGATTGCCTGTTGAATCCATGTCCAGAAGCCTTTTCCTGTGTAGATGGCATCAACAAGGTCAGCTGCCTGCCTCCTGTTACCGATGCTGTTCCCTTGGCGACGGTAGTAAAGAACACCACTCGCGGCTCCTCACCTAGGATGCCCGGCCCGGCAACGGCAGCTGAGGAATCCACAGGTATGCTGGGATTGCAAGTCATGGATAAATTGTATACAATACAAACATTATATTTTAACCAACAAGGTTCAGTGTGAGCCTATAAATACAACGCTCTCTCAGAACAAACCAGTGATGACCAATCCTTTGAGCTACTGACTTCTTACAAAAAATATGTGTCTACTTTGGGCCTTTTATACCCTTTAAGATGAATGATGATACTAGTTTCTGGCTGAGATTTCCCCCCTTTATACATTTAGAAAGTAGTAATATACTCATAGGTGTCCCTTAATAGATTGACTGTTAAAAGTATATTTATAGTACTATAATGACTTTAAATGCACTACTTGGAGTAATGGAGTATTTCTATACTTATCGCATTGTTACTTTTACCTCAGTGAAAGAACTGAGTACTTCTTCCCACACTGGGTATATAGTGAGTGTGCTATCCCTGTGCTGTCTTTATAAGCATACTTAAAACGTTATCGTATATCCTAATTGTGAAAGACGTGTACAACTTCAAAGGCTGCGCACAATTTCACATCAGTTCAGATTAGATTCTCCTTCTTTTTTTTCTTTTTTTATACCTGTCTGTGTTCAGGATGGTTCTACATACTCTTGATGAAAACTATCCCTCGCGCGCAAAACTTGAGATCTAAATGATAATGAATGATATTTTTATACTATAAAACCCAGACTCAGGGATTCTGGAAAAGGAATTGTTCTTAATGATTCATCAACTTAAATGCTAACGTTTCTCAATCAAGTCATAGCTTCCATTACTATGCTATTACTTCCATTCACATTATGGGTGCAGGAAAGAGACACTAAATTATTTAAACTGATAGGCCATTACACCAATCAATTGAACTGAAGGTGGTCCAGGGATTACTTTTTTTTGACAAATTACAGCGCTATCCTTCTCTTGTCCTTCCTACTAAACATTTTTGCTACCCAAGGCTTGCCAATTTCCAATAAGAGAGGACTCCAACTGAGCTGCTACTCTAAATGTGATTTTATAGCCTTTGGAACATAGCAGGCGATGAGATATAAGGATTTATTTAGAGATTGTGGTCGTTTGTGCAGCTGTGTTGAACAAAAGTCCTAGGTTTGTATTGTCCCTGAAAGTGCATTTTCAATTTCAATATGAGAACAATAATTTGAAAGAGTGGTAAGTCCAATCAAGTTTTGGCTATATCCTGTAACACTCAAATGAAGACACAGGAGACAATATGTTGACGTTATTGGGGTTGGATTCAGTCATCTATGTTAGAGGAGGATTTCAGAGTACTGGGCAGATTGTTACTCCTTGACAGATGAGGTCTGTCTACCTTTGAAACTGTTCACAGGTCTGTAAAACAGACCTATTGAACAGAGACGAGCTTGAACCAATTCAGTGAGACACTCTGAAAATCACTGTGGGCCAAACATAATGGAGTCCTCCCCGCTGCACCTGATCCAGCCTCCATCCAGTGCATATTGCATCGGCTCAGAGAGGGTTAAAAGAAACACAAGACACTGGCAAAGAAAAACAAACCCTGGCCTCTACACACCAAAACATCTATTTGAACCTTTTTACATATACGTGCATAATCAAAGTAAATACGTTTAAAAGTAAGAGGACCCAGAAACTCATGAGTTTATCTAACTAGGTCACCATCTCCACACATGCAGTGCCCTTGGTGCTGCTTGAAATAGACTCAGACAGTTCTCCTTTAAACCTAAGGACTGCTCCACAACCTTTGAAATAAACCAAGTCATTGGGAATTTAAACATGGGGGGCTAGTTAACATGGTACACTGACACTAGAAGATAGCCTTTCTTGTTAAAAGCTAAAGAGCTACAACATTCCTCCTCTTAATTTTGATGGAAGAAATTAATTCAGTGAGTAGCTGAATAAATATTACTCCACAGATTGAAAGGATTGTCTTCTGGGTTAATCCCCAACCCCCAGAATTCACTATTCAATGCTGAGCTTCACAGTATTTTAGCTGCACAATATGAGAGCTGATGGGAATCTAGAGAGGACACTGCTGGCGGAGGGAGGCTTACTGCAGCTAAGCCACAATTTGGTTGACTTTCCTTGGAGTGATCAACACAGCACAGGTGAAGCTGTTATCTGTTGCTGCCACGTGTAGCAAAAATGAAATTACTTAAGCTCCTAAAAATCCACTTGATGAGTAAGAGGTTAGCTGGAGGGTCCTTGCCAACATGCAGTCCCGTGTCTGGAGGTAGTCACCTCGTTGACCTTGAGTTAACTTGCATGTATTATGTTCGCATGTTTATTTACGACTGAGTGGGCAGTTTCTGAATATTAGTGTGCTTATAAACCTTTTCAGATATATTCAGAGACACAACTTTGCTGTTGAGTCATGATGACGTCCACATGATGTTTGCAGTTATGAATAATAATGAAAGCTCCACGAGATGAAAAAAAAGCAGTCTACATTTGTGATTTCAGCTTCACTTAATTGACTGCGTGCTCCTGTACTCTAACTGTCACTGATGAGTAATTTCATCAGTTATTTTTAAAACCAGACAACAAAGATATAACTTGACAAAAGAACCTTAAATACTCTGTGTATGTCAGCAGTAGTTTATTTGTCTACTACGGTAAATCATCTTACAACCAGTATTTTAATATAAAAAAAAGATTCTGCCAGTTTTGTAGGTACAGAAAAGGATGACCTTTTGCCTTCCCTCAGGGCTGTGAAATTACAAGGGTCCCAGAATGGTCCTCAGCAGTATTTTATCTCGGGCCTGTGACAAGTTCAATCAGTCAGTCTATTACCTTGCCCAATAAATCGGTGGTGAAACCGGAATTACGTCCTGCCTCTCCTAAAATAAATGGGACATTAAGACTATATCAATTAAATCTTGCCACCCCAAGTCAATCCTCCATTTTAATTGATCGTAAGTTCATATTTCTCCAAATGTATTCTTCTAGGGGAATATCCTGTGCGTTACCTTATCCGACATCTGTTTTGCTCCACCTTTACAAGTTACATTTAACATGACTAATTTCAATGTTCTCACATCTTTTATGGTCATGTACTAAGACTGGCCCTAATTCAACCTGATCTGAAAGATTTATGGAAAGGAATATTCCCACTGAGTTCTCTTCCTAGAAACAAGCCTTTGAACAGAGTATAGTAATGACAAATTCCTAGGTCAGCATTATTTTAGCTTGTTTCATATTATAACAGAAAATAATGATAGTGCTCAAAACAAGAAAGGGAAAACAATATAAGCTACTGTGTAAAGTGTATGTATTTCCAATTTAGACTTGAGACATGTGTAGGAAAAATCCAGTATGAGAATGTAAGGTAGCGGTAAAAACCGGAGACCTTTGAAGGAGCGACTGAAGCTAACTGCTAATGAGGTATGATATTGCCTCCTGGCAGCAGCCTCTGACTGCATCAAAGCCTACATCAGACTAAACAAGGCTTTAAAATTAATGAATAGCTTTGTCTCTAAGGGGTAATTTCCCATCATCAGCATTGGCAAACCCCATTGTCAGGAGTGAAGCAGAAGACAGCACTGCATTGTTGCGGTATGAATTTATCCTCATTAATTCACAGATCACAGTAGGTCTGCGGCTAATAATTCTCCCTTTTTTATGTGAGGGGATTTTCCTCAGGGTATTGGTCGTAATGCTCTCCAGAGAAAATGAGGGTATTTAGGTTAGCTTGTTTGCCAAATGCCCTGGGGGGCCCTCTGTCAGATCAAAGAGGGTCTAGCCTATTAGGATTTGACGCGTAACAAATATTGATAAAGGTCTCACTTGCAGCTGCCCGATTAATCACAGCAACAACTTTAAAGGGGCTTTGCTGATTTCTCCAGTGTAATGATTTTTTTTTCTTCAGATAAGAACAGACGAGACAGGTGCAACCAGGAATGTGTTTCATTTTAACAGCCTCTCCGTTTTGAGTTTTCTACAACAAATTGCACTACTTCCCTCAAATGAAAAATATATTGAGCATGAGCAGTACCTAATGCTTGCCTCCAATTGCAGTGAGAGCCAGTCTTTTAAGTTTGTCTGAGTCACTACCCCCAATAAGCTTGGGGGCAGTGTAACTTTTACTGAAATATCCCATAATTGCCTATTCTCATGGATGACATAAGCCAAGTTATCCCACTATAAAATGAGCCATGTAATAAACTTGTACAAATAGGTTCATTTCAGCCAAGACTTCTCTAGCCTAATATAGTGCCATTTGCATGCTTTACAGCTCTTTGGCAAATAAGACTATTTACAGTACGTCTGTACAGTGAGCAAAACGGCAAAACTGTAATGCTACCAAGATATGTTAAAAGCTTCTTTTTTTTCTGCTTTCGGAAAGATAATTAACTACGTATTGCCTTCCCGCACCAAATTGCCTGCACTGTGCATTTGTCTTTTCAAGATGTGTTACTAACATGTTACCAAGGTTATTTAATGGACAGAGGTTACATTTCTATTTTAATGCAGCGACCTACAGTAGCGTGTACAGCAGAGTAACAAAACCAGAAAGTCTTTGTTCAAGCCTCAGTGGGATCAAGCATCCTTCCTGCTGAGGTGTCCTTAGACAGACTCTGCATCTTGAATAATTCTGAGGTTGCGGTTCTGTCTCTCACCCTGTGCACTGACCTCCCTGTGGAGGAAGGGAGTGAAAAGTTGGATTCTCCTTTCAGGGATCAATAGGGAAACAGCAACGTTGACTGTGAAGATGCATAAACTGAAGTCTGTCCTGCTTTTGTTTACCCTTTTCCCCCCATGTTAGTTATATTCTATTTTTCTTTTTTGTTTCCCAGATTCAAGCTATGTTCATTACTTTGGGAATTCATACCTGGAGTTTGAGGGTATTGACCTCAGCGCACTCAACAACATCACTGTGAGATTTCAGACGCAAGTATCTCAGGGAACCATACTTTATGTGGACCAAGGACCGGCCAACGGTGATTTGTTTTTCATGAAACTCTTCATCTTGAATGGAAGCTTGCAGGTACAAACTCAAGCTCAATGGTTGTTGTTGTTATTTGTAATTGTTTTTTTAATAACCCCCCTTCAATGACCCCACTTTAACAGACCCAAAACATTACATTGAAAATATTGCCAAAAATTGCCACTCAAAAATAAATGCGAGCAACAACAAAGCTATTACAAAATGTAAAAAGAAAAAATACAGGTAGGTAATGCTTCAAATGCCATTCCTGTCTGACTTAATATTATCTTTTGAGAAACTATAAGATTGTTGTCTTATTTCAGGGTATATCTTTGCATTTCGAAGTCATAAAACACATGTTTAGGGTTATTATGCATGATTATTCTCTGGTTTTGTAGTCGTTAAATCTGATTTTCTCATGTTTGCCTATAAAAGACAGCTATCGTGCAGTCAGTTTATACAGTTCATAGAGCAGAAACATGAGAAAACCCTTTTTATTCCCTCCCCTTTCAGTACGCCTTTTGCTGTAATGAAGAAGAAGAAGAGGTCACACGGATCAGTACAATAATTCATGTCGCTGATGGCCAGGTTCACATTGTTAATATCAGGTATGTTCAGCATTGTTATATTCAATTAACCTTTAGAAACCAAAGGTGTGAATGTTCAGATCTGCATTGTGGTCAGCTTTATAGAAGCTATGCTGGTGCAATTTGAGAGAAAGCATGTTATATCAAAATATAATATTTTCTTATTTCGTTTTACATCTTTTAAATTACAATTTAACAAAGACATCAACCCAGATGCAGTTTATTATGTGTCTGTTTCAGATCAGAATATTCTGATGAGAATAAAAAGAGGCATATTCAAGATAAGCTGCTTACAAAAGATCTTAGTAATATACAAGTTGCTTTCGAAAAGCGTTAGCACCTCAGGTGGTATTAACTGAATCCTCGGTTATCCACTCATTTCAAGTGCAGGAGACTTTTCTTTGTAGACAAGGGCTGTCACTAATACCAGGGGAAGATATATAATTGGCAGAAATCACCAGACTGAGAATGTAGATGTTATTACAAATGAGTAAATGGGCTTACATTTTAAAGAACTAAAGCAAACGTCAGAATGTGCCTATTAAAATGCATTAGCGATCACTGACCATGTTTTATTGCCTGTTCTAAAGTCTTCATTTGCAGTTTTTCATTACGAAAAGATTAACAAGCAAGAGCCGAGCACAAAATCAATGTTTAAATGATTTAAAGTGAGGCTGTGGCCCCCTTTAGTTATATTGTTCCGAAGCCCATGTGCAATCTTCCTGCCAGCCCTCTCCATTATATTCTGACATGAGGAAGATTGTGGTTCAGTTTCAAGACACAAAGTTTATTATGTATGAGCTGGAAGCGGAGACAAAGTGGCAAATGTTCAACTCATCAGTTTGCATTTGAGGGTAGAGCAATGTTGCAAAAAGGGCCATTTCATTTAAGTTAAGAGAAAGTAAAGTATTTAAGTTTTCTTAAGATGAACATTTACCAGAATTAAACACAGATTAAGGATAATGAGTTACTGCAGGTGATTATGAACGTGTTGTGCCAAAGGTGAGCTAATGATCCCCTGTGGAAACAAAGCTGAGTGTGAAGGTTGCCTCGTGTTTCTTGGCAGAATGCTGCACTGCCCTAAATACGCTAATGCAGCTAAAAGGCCTATCAGGTTTAAGGGGCTGCGAGGCCCAACCCTGTTTTTCTTTCTGCAATAAAAATAACAGCAGTATGAATCAATCATAATGTTCTGTTCCAACCCCTTGGAGACATCGCTAGAAAGAGAGCTGTCATAACTAGAGGGTTGGAAGTATGGAAAAATGGTTCCTGGTTTCACAAAGCAAATTCTTTGTAATTGTCTGATGGCCGAGTCCGTCCATCTTTGTCTGATTTAACCCAGAGCTACAACACCATGGCCATCCTCAACGTCACCGCCTAACTCATTATAGACTTTTAATATATCTTCCCGTCAAAGTCGCTTTTCAATATGTTAAATAGAAACCCAGTGGGGCTGACTTCTCAAGGACACTGAGCACAGTGCCCTCTGGCTGCGGGCCAGGCCGCTCTGGCAGACTGCTTCTAAATTAACCGCCTCTCCACGCCGGGCTCTAGAGGAAGGACTTATGCATCTCGGAGTTATGCCCCGAGTGTTTAGCCGGCATACGCAACAGCCTCAAAAGTACAGGCTTAACAAATCAGACTAGATTGCTTCGTGGGCCTCCTAACTTCCACTCTGGGAACAAGGGGTATCAGGAGACACTAAAGAGGAGGCAGTGCTTTCGTGGCCTGAGTACCCTCAAGCTGCAGATGGTTAGACCAGATCCACACTCAGGTAATTATCTACTCTCCCCTGTTGTTTCTAAAGTAGAGAATTGGTTTTTGAAATCTATGAATGGCTGTAGCCGGGGGTCCAAAATAGTTGTGTTTAGGATACCTGGAGAAAACAAAATAGAGGTAGGTGATCAATTGATATATATCCAGAGAGTAAACAAAACAACTAAATCCATTCGTCACAGTTCCCTGTAAAACTCAGCACACTCCTGTCAGACCATTTTTTGTCTTTTATTTAGGGATGCCAAATAATCATGACGCGTTATAGAAATTGGCAGATAAATGCTTTGAAATTAAGTATGGGCTTTGGCCAAAAAATATAACTTTTCCTGAAAGGATGGGCTGATGAGATGACATGTATTACAATAACAGTAGGCATAATGAAAAATCAATAATACCAAGGGAGAGACTATTGCAATTAGGTGATAAAATATGTGCGTTTATCAGCAAAGGCGGTCGGCCAAAATGAGATGGAAAATATCAGCAAGTCACAAAAAGAAATCCAAAATCATCCATCTCTATTTCATTTTTGCACTTGTGGAAATGATACCTGAAAGTGCCCTTGTACAACCCATTCTTCTCTTAGAACAAAATGTACATGTTAGCAACAATAAGTGTTCTTGAGCTTGGTGTGGTAATTGAAGTATTAACAGATGAAGTGTTCACTCTTTTTCATAGACAACACCTGACCCCCTGTGAGGCAGAGCTAACTCTTTCTGGTCATGAGAAAATCAGAAGTACAGCAAGTAATTACTGGTTGGGACACATCATACAAAGAACAAACCACGTCTTCACAGGCGGTCTGCCACAACACTATCGACTCAATCAGGTAAGCCTGAACAGTTCTCTAGTTTCTCAACGGTCTTTGATTCAAAAGTTACCTTCATGTTACATTCATGCTGTATAGGGGTATAACACTAAAATGGCAGCATAATAATAAATATAGGAAAAAAGCTCCTAAAAAATCAATTGTCTTGATAAAACATTGATGTGTTTGTCCCGTAGAGAGCAAAACCTTTCCACAACTATACTGGATGCATGGAAATGATTGAAATGAATAAACTGAGGAGCTTTTACACATCTGATGCCATTGGCGGCAGCAACATAGACCAATGCAGGTATTCATCATGATCCATTCTTTTGATATAGTTTTCACCTTACATTTTTTGAGTAAAATATGTTTTTACATTTTTATGGGCTCACACAATTAAAAATTAACCGAACACGTTAACACACTTGTATGAAATATGGAATTGTACCAGAAGCATTTTACATGTACTTCTCATATAATGCTATAAAATAGCTGCCTTGGAATGCAGTCCATTTTAATTCCTACTAAAAACTCTTGTCAAATTTTACAGATTTGCTCCGTCTGCCATAGAAGACTCCTCAAAAAGTTGGACAAATCAATCCACCAATCCTGACAGAGTGACCACAACAACAACAACAACAATGGCAGCTCCTGCACAAACTCCAAAACAACTTCTGCATGAACCTGGAGTTTGCTTTGATGGTCTTTGCCTCAACGGAGGAACATGTCACGATGTGCAGCTGCCTGCTGGATCTCTGCCTACCTGTCAATGCCCGCTTCATTTTACGGGAACTTTTTGTGAGAAAGGTACATTTTGACGTTTTTTGTTGATATCTGACAATGTTTCACAGTTTGTGTACGTGGTAGAAATATATAACACACAGGCAGTAAAAAGCTTAAAAACCTCCTCTTCTGTGACCTCCGTAGAGGTATCATGAAGGGCCAGCCAACAAATTATGTTGCTTAATATATGCTGAGCCTCTTTGGCTAATAGCTTTCACTATGAGGCAGAATAGAGTGAGCTGCATTAGGAATTTTGAGCGATGTGAATTATTCAGGATATGATTAATGAAATTAAAGATCCATATAAGAAGCTTGAACCAACGCTGTGTGTCCATGTTCACCTCCAATGCTCATTGGGAATGAGGACACGACCTTGCAGCATTTGCTCAACATTCAGCTGTGCATGTTAGCAGGCCTTAGATATTCTTGTAGAATGGACCTCAGCTCTTTCCAAAAGAATATGTATTTTGTACGAACTGCTCCAACGTTAAGGAGACAGCGCTACAAGACATGCATACTAAAGAGTTTCTTCTTTGGAGATTTCCTCTCAGTGCACTTATGATGTATTTACTGACGTCCCCATGCATGACATGTTTGACGGCGTAGAATAAAGAGTCTTGTATTTTGCTGTTGCAGTCATTGTCTGAAGTGGCAGCAGCAGTAATGCTAGAGTTGTAAATTAATTGATTTTGTGCTTGATAAGGCAAGCCAAGCTGCTGATGTCAACTGATTGACATCTCAGATATGTTGTTATGATAATCACGTTTACTTCCCTACACTTAAGCTACAGTAAATGAGTAACTCCCGAACATGAATTAAAAAGGTACTTCTATTCTATTTGCTTTGCATGTTGCGCTTTGTACAATGTAATTATGATGGAAATGCTAATTATTTCAAATTGACAGTTGGCTAAGGACCGCCCCCAAGCAGTGATTGACCAATTAGCTTATCATTCATGATTTCGGCATTGCAGGCCGAGCTTTAGACTTTTTGTTGTGCATTGGGCTGTGCTAAGATCGACACCCGCCATTTAAAAAGCTTGAGAGGTGTTGTTTTTTTGCCTTTGTGAAAGAAAAGAAAAATCAAAAGCGAAATTGTGAGGAATGGACTAAACGTAGTTAATCCACTGAAGTCTAATCTGCAGTCTCCATATTCACAAATCTATACCTCCCGTGAAAACTAATTGTTTCTTTTAAAGGTAAAAAAACCATATCATGCATAGTTTGTACTGTAGTGTGTAGTTTATTGATTATCTGCCACTTGTATTCCAAGTTCAAGAAAGAAAAGCTTCTCTTCAACGCAAAGAGAATTGCAATAACAATGCTGTCAGCATGGAAAAGATGGAAATTCATATTAGCATTGCAGAGAGTTTAAAAAATGAAAACAGGATTGATTTTCACCTTCACAACCCCTAAGGTGATTTCAACTGATAGCATTATCTCGTATTTACAGAAACCATGGAAATATGACAGCATGCCGCCCCAAAGCTAACATTAGCAGTCATTAACATGGCTTGAGCATCCGGAGTGCATTTTACAGCCCTATTTGACACCTCTGCTATGTGTTCTGAAAATGCTAATTCACCTGTGTTTTAGTAATCAAAACATGATATTTGTCTCTCCAGGCACTGTCATAAAGAAATAATGCTATTTTTAAACTTTTTAGTTTTTCTGTGGGCGGCAGAAATGTGCTGTTTACGTGACAGAGATTATTAATATAATCTAATTATTAAAGAAGCTATGGCTGACTTCTAAACAGTCAGTGGAGATTAAGGAATATTAATCATTCATTGATTAATTAAATTAACTAATTTATTCATTCATTTATTTTTTCGTCACTTTACCTTTCAGGTTCATGGAAGGGTAATTACTAGAGTGCTACAAAATATCATGACATGACATATTGCCTGTGTGACAATGTGCACGTTCAAGGTTAACCTTTACTAATTAGAAACAAATTCTGACAAGCCAAACATGCATTATAATCTGACTATATGATGATACTACAAAACATATAATATTTCCATCACCATCCCTGAAAAAGGAATCGGATGTTTAATATTCCCATGGTTTTGTTATTTTATATTTTCCAATGAAAAATGAAATCTTTAAAAAAGTTATTAGGACTTATCAGCCTTTTCCTTCCATGCCCGTGAAGTCATATCCTGCTTATTCCTCAACTTGTCACACTCGTAAACTTTTCGTTTAAATACCAGCAGTGGCCTTTTAGAGTCATTTCTGCTGCGTTTGAGGAATTTATTTTCCTCAAAAGTAGTTCAGTCTCTCATCTTAACAGAATGCAATCTCATACGAGCACTCTTCCAGCGATGTGCTTTGCAACACTAGTTCTAATGTCAGGCAGACGGGGGTCCAGGGGCTGTTTACATGCTGACACGGTGTCTGTGTATTGCTGCGACTTTGCTGGGTGACAACCTTGGCCTCACATCTTATTGAATTAAGAATAGTCATAAGAGAAGGATATAGCCCCAGCTCCCGGTTAATTATAGATGCATCATCCTACCCAGTGACTAATGATGTGGACTTGTTTGTGTCCTATGAACTGCTGACATGTCATACAGTGTACATCTAAGATATATATCAGGAAGCACATGACTCCCTACAGCCTCTTCATTGTTAAACCAACGGATGTCATTAATGTCAGTATATGTTGTTATTCTGAAACGTTGCACAACGGTTTATCATTTGACATGATATATAGTGAGCCACATAGGGATGAAATTATGTGAATGTAAATATGTTTGTGTAAGGGCACATGCAGTATTTCAGTGTTAGTTAGTGCTTTTAATCAAGTCATGTGTATAATTAAGGTTCATTTACTTAAGTATTTACATTTTATGCTAATTTATACCACAACAGCTTAGAGGAAAACATTGTATTTTCTAAGTTAGTTACTTTGCAGATTAAGCTTTAATGTTAATTAAAAGCTATAGTTTTAATACATAATTAGCTGAACCTTGGTCTTTAAACATTTAAACACTGCCTACTGCAAAACATATATATGATAATCATAAAATAGTATATAATAATGATTAGGGTCATTTCGTATTATGAGTACATTTAATTTCTTCATTTTTGTTGTTGCTTTTTTATACAAGCAATAACAGTTTGTTGAGGAGCAACAAGCAAACACAATATCGACAAATCATACCCTTTAAATTGATATGGTGAACCTGTTAACAACATCTGCTTATTTACATTTCCAGCTGTTAAGAAGCAACATAAATCATATGGTGAATATAAGTCCGGTGTTGACTCTGTCGGCTTTGTTGCGCTCTACAAACCCCTGAGGGAAATAGCTGTCTCTTTAACTGCTAAATGCTCCACTATGTTGACCAACTAGTCTCTTTCTGTGTCTGCAGTTTGGTGCTGAGCAAGTAGTGTACTGTGGGTAATTAGAGCTTTCTTTGCAGAAAATTGCTCCTTGCTTTAGCGAAAACAATGCTACTGTATGTGAAGATGAGATCCTGAAAGCTAAACAATGAGCTGAAACTCAAATAGATGATTCCCTGTAGGTTAATTACTCTTAGTAAACCCCCCCACATTGTAACTAACATGCCATTTGATACATTGTAAAATACTTATTGTAGATGCATCAAGTAAAATTCGGTATGCAGCACTATAACATTCTATTTTTACATTGTGGTATTTTTACCTTCACCTAAAAATCTCAATACTCCCTCCTACACTTACTTACTGTTTATGTGACGAGTGAGCGAGCCGAGCCGTGCATCTTATATTTGCTTGTAAGTGCAGGATTAAGATTACAACAGGGAACGGTAATATATTAACATTTTCATGCACAGCAAAGCTTTCAACTCCTCTCTAAAGCTATAATGTCAGGTGTTATGTCAAATGTATTACTCAGACAGTATTACGCACAAAATGCCTGCACACATCTGCTATATCACCAAATCCACTAAATCTCAACAATGATACAGTTATTCAAATAGTTTTAGTTAAGTGTTAAACCAAAGCAGCTTTCAGTCTTATTTCTGAGTCAGATTTAGTTGAAATAGTATGTTCGGACTGAAAATAAGACATTTGAGCCGTATTAACTGTGAATCCTGCTCTCCTATGTTTGGACATCAGCTCTGCACCTCTAGTGGGACACACCGTAATTCAGGCCAGTGCCTGGTGGTTGAGTGAGTATTTGATATCAAGTAGCCAACCGTAAAACAGGTTGTGTCAAGATTAAGCCAATTCATCTGAGCATGTCAGAGTTTTAAGCAATGATAAATTGCCCCTCCAAAGAAGACACAGTGGGTCGTAGACCTTGCCAAAGACACTCTGTCAAGTATGTAAGCATTCAATTGAAAGCTAAGTGATCAAAAAAATTAGCTACGAAGTAAATGGCTTCAAGGTATGGAAGTTGGCAAAAAAAGGAAACCAGTCAGGCAGGAAATTATTCAGATTTGGTCTGTATTGATCATGACCTCCTTTTACGGCTCATTACCTTATGTCCTGACTTCTCGTATATTTGAAGCTGTGATGTTTGCCAGAGGAATAATAAAATGAAAGTTCGTAGCACAGTTTTGTCCCAGTTTTGTGTTTTCGTCTGCTTTTACCTTACCACGACTGTGCATATTGTTCTCATTTTAACTGCCATTATATTATTTCTGTGAACTATTGTAAAAACCCTGCTTTGTCAAATAGGTTGCTTTTTAAATTTGCCCTTACCTTTTTAATGCAGTCCAATCCCAATGACAACCCAATTCTTTTCAACAACAACATAAAATTGTTGTGTGCATGTTTAACAACATCCAACAGTAAAATTACAACAGGAGGTACCTAATTGACTACAATTCAATTTGTTGTGCATCATTTTTATGAAAATGAAATATGAATTGTTCCTGAGTGTAATGTTTTTAGACATCAGTACCAGAGAGATTCCTGTAAATGTGGTGAAGATGATCAGGTTTTTTAAAGCAATCAGAAAACACTTTTAGGTGGTGAGCATTTTCTGTTTTTGTGTTTGACACCAATGGGACCTGATGAGGGGTTGTCGGCTTCCTGCTTTGCCAACACACTGCTTAGGTGCTGCCAGTTTGTTTTTTTAGTCATCTAGTGCGTGTTTGCTGTAATTGCTGGTGTCTTTAAAAAATGAGCCAGCTCAATCTGCCTTACCCAGAAATTGCCAACAAACATTACAGGATTGATTCATTATTTTCAGCCCAAGGAAGCTGCTCCTTACTCAACAAAAGACACACAGTTTTTATTTTCTCTTTGTAATTTGAAGTATCTGCTTTCATGTTTTACTCTTTGTGCAAATCTGAAGTGTCATCCACTCCGATTGGCTGTGAAAAGAGCAAGTGTCGAAAAAGTGCCAGAGCACACAGGCGAAGATAACAGAATTATGACCGTTTGAGAAATGACTAAAAACTCTTCTCTGTTGGTCTGGTGACTGATCATTAAACTGGACCAAGTCTGCGTTTCTGTCCCCCAGGCCACTGAGATGTCCGATCTGTCAAACGTTGCTCGTATTTTCACATACTATTGACTTGGTTCCTTTTCGAGCCTAGTTAAAGCCATTTCAGGATAAGCTGTAGACATGAATGACTTATATCCAGGAATTGTGCTGTCCTTGTTGCCATAAATGAAATCATTCGAGCCCTTTCCACCAGTAGTATCTGACTCACAGATTAAGCAGGCCAACAGAACATTTAAACAAAAATACAGCAGCCACATAGTCCTATTTTCTTTAACTATCATATTGTAGCTTATAATACATGCAATTGAAAAACGATCGCAACTTTATTTACTTAATTATTTTCACGACACAATAACATGGTGTACAATTTTCAAATAACACAGATCTCAATGCCTCACAAGCACATTTCCTATTTAACCTGATTTCACATTATCAGAGAAAATGCACTATATACTGAGTTGTGACAGTTATATGACTAAGAAACCCTGTTACTTACTTAAACTCTGACATTGATTTAACATCCATTTGCCTCCGCCATTGCCACTGCATAGCCGATCCTAGAAAAATCCAAGACCACTGCTAACTGTATGTTACATCTTCATCAAATGCCTCTTTTTTATATTTCTTGTCTTTGATTTTTCTGCTCTTAATGCTGTCAGTCAGTCATGTCTGCTTTTAAAATCCATTTCATCCAACATCAAAGCACTAAAAAAAGTGAACATGAGTCATGAGAGGATATTCATGTATCTCTGACAATAAAAGAGTAGTTTCTTGAACCCACCAGATCCTGTACATTAAGAGCTCCTCTGCTGAGGATAAACTGCGGTTTTCCTTCAGAGCTGGACTCTGAAGGTAGAATCCCCTGAGCGTCGGTCGGGTTGGCCTATTTTAAATGGACAGTCATGTACCTGAACAGCAAGCCATTCACCAGGTGTACAATGTCCTCGGTGTAAAAGCCAGCAGATCATCACTGGCTTGTGGAGTTGATGACCTGAGCCGGTACCTCCTCCGCCTCTGCTTAAAGTCATTTCACTTTTTCATCCAGTGGGAAATAACTGACAGGCCATGGAGACTCTGCTCGCAGACAAGCTTCAGTGCTGCCAAGCCACACAGCAGCCAACTCTTTCTGTTCTGTTGACTAACAAATAGAACTGTAGGGCATTGTTTTCACACAAGTCTGGTTGTGTAATGTTTTGGAGTACAAATGTTTTTTCTAAGGAATTGTAGGATTCTACTCGCTTTTCCCTTTTGATCTAAATGAATTTCATCTATTTCTATTTTTTTTTTAGGTACCACAGTATACATACCCTCATTTGATGGCACATCTTATTTGGAGCTGCAGCCCCTTTCATCGTATCTCCAGCCTTCTGGTGCCACTGATAATCTCCCTGCTACGCTCAAGGACACCACTGTTATTCTTAGTTTGACAGTGAAAACCAGATCTGCTCAAGGAACAATCCTCTACAGTGAGTACAGTCCCATTTTCTTTCAAACATTTAAAAGCACTGCAACGCTGATAGCAAGTAGATCACATTTAGAAAGAAAACATGCATCTGTGTTAATATGCCCATTTTGTTGAATACATTTATTAAAAAGTATAACTTGTGTCATGTGAGTGAAAGAATTATGTTTATACCCTCCAATTAAAAATATCAATTGACAGTAGTATACATTAGAATGTTTTAAGTGGCTAATATTTTTGCTGCTGTGCCTTGTATGTGGGTTAAATGTCCATTTTGATTGGTGTCTGACATACAGATAAAATGAACTGCTTAGAGTTTCCTCTAATAAGGCTATTACTGTATGTCATACAGTGTTGGGTGTAACGCGTTACAAAAGTAACGGAGTTACAGTAATATATTACTTTTTGCTGTAACGAAGTAATGTAACGCATTACTAATGAAATGTGGGTAATATATTACCCGTTACAATGCTCAGTAACGCAGTTACAACACATTTTAACCCGAAATTAAATGGTGTTTTGTTTTTTAAGAATGTACTAACATAGCGAGACATTCCGACACCGGACAAATTGTGCGGGTAGATTAGTAAACCTGGTGTTTACCCTTCAGGCTTCGCGTCGAGATCTTCGGGGAAGTTGAACGTTATGCAACCATTCAAAAAAGAGAACGTAGCGAAAAATACAAACAACAAATTGTGTCAGGTGCGCGTGACCTGCTCCGCTGCGCGTGCATCATTTCCAAAGTGCTTCCACAGCAGTGACACACATCTGATCTGTGGATAATCATTTGTACGGAAATGGTTAAAGCAACCATCACTAAACGCCAGCAACACTGCATCTACTGCAGACAGGAGCAACAGGTCAGATGCGGACATCACGTTACCCCTCCGTTGTGGACACTAGCTTACTCCCGCCTGACTCGCCGGCCCCGGAGCAGCAGTCTTCGTCGCCCGAAACTACGCCGCTCCTCTGCGGCCCGCAGGTGCCAGGTATATCTAAACAAACTACCCGCCTGTACAGTGGGGTAAGGCGGTCATTTTGCAGCTTGTGGTATAAAAATAGACAATGGCTAGAATATTCATGTGAAAATAGTACCATATTCTGACATGCCTGTAGAAATGTTGGGTCAAAAATAATGCATACAATAGCACAGATGCCTTCACCACGAATGGCTACAAAAATATCTCATATCCCAAGCTTATTATCAACGAGCTGATGTTGCAGCTGAAATGTTCTCCAGGTCACAAAGTCAACCTCACATGATGATGTGATACCAGTTTTCAAGCACAGTAAATATTCTCTTCCCAGCGTATATGATGGGACCAAGGTGATGATGTAGTAGGCTACATGGTTTTAATAATACTTTTGCCTTTCAATGTTTGCCATTTCAAACCATGAGCATGGTTTAAATAATATTTGCCTTGATTTACAATATGTTAACCTTCATTATAGTCCTTGACAGCGGTCTGTACTGCTGTATTAACAACGTGTCACATGTTAAGAATTTACAATCAGAATCGAGTATTCAACTAAGCCCTGTAATACAAGTTGTTAGTAGCCTTAAGGGCCTACACAGTTGTTATGCTATACCACATTGCCCTTCACTGGATGCATAATGAGCTGCACTAAACTACATTTTAGCATTTAAAATACCTAGCCATTCTTTTGCGGTTATTTTGGTGAAAGTAACTAAAAAGTAACTAAAGTAGTGTAACTCATTACATTTCAGAGACAGTAATATTGTAATGTAACTTATTACTTTCAAAAGAGAGTAATAAGTAATATGTAATATATTACATTTTGGAAGTAACTTGCCCAACACTGATGTCATAGTGTAAATATTGACTTCATAATGAATGAACGGGACACTGGTATGTTTAGAGTGTCAGGATGCATCACTTTTTGTTTTATTAAACACTCTTTAGTTTAAGAAATTGTGCAATATCTTTGAGAATAAATAAGCTGCACTATGCAATTACAGACAGGAGAGAGTTAGCTTACCATAATCACTGGATATCTTGGTTGACAGTGATGTAATTTCTGCAATCTGCTTTAAAAACAAAGTATGAAGGCAACCCATGGTGGTTTATGTGTGTTATGTGCCAGAGTATCTATTGGCCGGGCCCACTGTAGGTTCCTGACAACCAAAAAAGAAAATGTCACTGCACCTGTTCCCCCGCTAAGCTAACCGGCAGCTGGCTTCATATTTGCTATAAAGACACAAAAGTTACGCCTGGCAAAGAATAAATAAGCACATAAAACCTAAAACTAATGTATATAATATTTGATATTATCAGAAGGAAATTGTCTTCCAAATGTCCCCAAGATCCTCTGAAGAGAGGGGTAAGTCTACACTGCATAGTGTCTTCCCAATAAGTTATAACTTAAGGAGATGTTCTTGTCTCCCCTTTTGTTACTGTCACGCTCGTTATCACTGTTATTAAATAATGTGCACAAAATATTTTATTTTTGTATCAATAATAATGCAGAAATTAAACAACAGCCTGTGCTTTGTTAATTTACCACTGATTACATTAAACATTATCCTGTTTCTGAGTGCTAGCAAGCTGGATGCCTGGCAACGGTTATGGTGCTATAGAAAAAACAAAACACTTCATATAATTTTAATTGATTCTACTTCAATAACATGTTCATACACAAAGGATGAGTAATAACTACCTGTGTTAAACATATTTACTCCTAAATATTTGTTTTAAAATCACTGGACGGATAAAAAGATCAGCACTATGACTCATCTTTTTGCTGTTTCAGTGAACTGTGGGACAGAAAGATGATTACTGTGTTTCCAAGGCTACAGGAGAAAGGCATGGAAGCACTAAGACACATTTAAGAAGAAAAGTATTATAATTGAACCAGCTTTTCTGTTCTGTTAAGTGAAGGTCATTTGTAACATGTATTTCCCAAAATATTTTTTTCGCCAGAAGCTAATATTATGTGATACAATTGTGGAATACAATGCTTTGGGGAAGGACAAAAGATAGCCTTGCATTTGTAAACATCTGTGAGTTTTTGTCTACAACCATGAGCTCTACATTACACCCAGATCCTACCAGCTCTTTTGTTCCCACACCTGCACACACACACATACACACACACACACACACACACACACACACACACACACACACACACACACAGATTCTCTTTTGTTACTGAAGGAGATTTGGATAGGTAGGCCTGACAACCACTGAGTAGACCCTCTTAACAATAGAGCATTGTTTTTGGAAGAATGGGAGTGAGTAGGTTATTTTTTTAAGAAAGCTGAGCCATGAGAACTTTGTTCCATTTATCCGGCTTTAAATGTATTATACATCTGTTCCTTCAATGTGTTAGGTACCAGCCAGCCTAGGGTTAATGCCGCTACATGAATGCCTTGAGCTGCAGGTCCTCTAATGACTCCAGAAACATCCAAATGTGTGTCTCCGTGGATCGCAGCTCTTCGTTTTAAAAACTGAAACCACCTTGATCTTGCGAGGCTACGGTTGTCCCCGTATGACACCCCAGCAAGTCAGGTGCAAATCTGACAGAACTGTAACCACCACAGGTGATTAAATCCTACAAAAATGGTACTGACATCTCAAAATTGATCTTGCCGATATAAGTCTGTGACGTTGTCTAAGGTCTTTCACCTCTACTTAAAACATTGCATATATATTACGCATTACAATATAACACAGGGTCCATCTGTACCTTCTTTCCTTAGATCAAAATGTATATCGTCTGCCTCCGATATATATATATATGTAAGCTCTATTGTACAAATGTTAAAAACATTTTGAACTTATGCCATAAAACCATTGCATTCCTTAGAGTTATAATAGCTTCTCTCTGACCTGATATTGGCCTCTCATGAATGCGTAAGTGTTCCACCAAAGACTTAAATCTTTGTATTTAAGGAGCTATTAATTAGCCAGATCTCAAGACCTAAGAGGGCTCTAAATTAGTGCTTTATGCAAGGTTGGTGCACTTGAAAGGTCAGTCAGCTAAGCCTTAAACACACATAGGCCATGGAGCTATCCAATTTAAGACAAAGATACAGTATCCTGTCTGACACTAATTAAAGTGATGTGACGTTTTTCCCAATTGGATATAGGAGTTGTTCAGTATAAATTATTACAAGCCTTCCCTATTTAACTAGAACCCATAAAGCATATCTGTCTGTGATGATCAAGAGCACCCTAACTAAGTTAAGAAAACGTTCTCTTGTTTTCATAGTCAACACAGTGTTAATGCAGCATTAGGAAGCAAACATTTGGGTGGCAACGAAAGTTTGGTTGCATCTGAAATTGACTTTTTCATATTTTTCTCATAACAAAAAATTAAGAGAAATATCGGCGAAATGTGTGTTGCTCATGTTAAGAAAATACTTACATCTTTCAAATAATATGTTTGAGAGCAGCAGAATAATTGCAAAGCAGAGCTTTTTTAAGATTCTACCCTGTACTTAAATGAATATGTGTTTTGGTATGTTTTTTGGAGAAACAGCTCATTACATTAGTGCAGAAGGACACTGAGGTGTCTTTTTTCTCAGTCGTATTCTTAGATGCTCTCTAATACTTGATTGTGAAAGATCTTGCATTTATAAGACTTAGAGATATGAAATAGAACAAAGACAAATCCCTTAACTTTATATATCTGTAATATTTAAATAAATATAATTTTTGGAAATAAAAAGTCTACTGAAAGATGGGAAATTTTTTCCTGAATAGTTTTTTTGTTTTCATTATTGAATGTTTTACTCAGCAGTGAGATAGTAAGAGCATCTCATAAGAGCTAGCTAGAGGAAGATCCCTTTGGAAAAATGTCAGAAGTTAGTTTTCAGATGTGACATGTCAAAGTAAATTAGATTGTGCTTGATGTCAAGCTTCACCTCCAGCCTGTAATATAGTTGCCTCGTGTATCCGCTGCCACCAGTTCTCATTCATAACACTCCGTTCGATGTCTCACTATGGGATGCGCCTCATCCGCGGAGCAAACAGAAGCATCAATCTCATTACGCCAATCCTGATTGGCAGGTGATCTTGACGTCAGCGTCAGGGAATCCACCCCCTATAAGTAGCTTGCGCTACGTCGCATGCGTCATTCAAACACCTCTTCTCGCTTCAGAGCACAACTCTATATCGGTAGCCGGGCTAGCTTAACAGTCCACAGACTGAACCCAAGCTAACTTCGGTCGACGGGCGCTCGCCGGCTACTTTTATGCTTCTGCAAGAAGACTGTTAGTATTAACATACCAGTTAATACTACAATCGACCTCGCCGTTTTTCTTTTCTCCGGAAATTAAAAAGGTAAGGTTTTGACTTTCAAGCTAGCAGCACACCTGTTGCTAGCTTGCCTCCCTCGCTACCGAGGATGTTTTTTCTTTTCTTCTCACACCAGCGAAGAATAGGACTAAAAGAATATTGCCACACCATGTAATATTCTTCGAGAAAAAGTCCTACGCCGTCGTCTTTTCTTCGGACTAACGACAGGTTGGAGAAGATTTTTTTCTCGGTAAAGTACGTGCTACGAGCGTGTCCTTCCCACGTCGCCATAATGGCGAACAAGATGGACATGTCTCTCCCCCACACCAGTGAAGTCAGGGAATCGGAGGCTCGGCTCTGTGGCTGCGGGTTGAAGATTTCGGACGCAGACTCACACCAGGTCTGCTCGTCCTGCCTCGGGCTGCAACATGCCCAGGAGGCTATCGACAACCCCGGCTCATGCGGGCATTGTGCCCGTTTCACCATAAAGAGCCTCCGCC